GGTTCTGAAGCAAAAAATGTAGAACTCTGGACTTCGCCCACCATTCACCCTGCCCCCGCCACTTCCCACTGCCTGCGGCTTAGGCTTTAGGGTGTTGTGGTTTTAGGATTTTGGGGCTTTAGGGTTTTAGGGTTGTGGGGTTTAGGGTTTAGGGTTTTAGGGTTTTCGGGTTTTAGGGTTTTAGGGTTTTAGGGTTTTAGGGTTTTAGGGTTTTAGGGTTTCAGGGTTTCAGGGTTTCAGGGTTTCAGGGTTTCAGGGTTTTAGGGTTTTAGGGTTTCAGGGTTTTAGGGTTTTAGGGTTTTCGGGTTTTAGGGTTTTAGGGTTTTAGGGTTTTAGGATTGGCACAGATGCCCTGATATGGCTAATCGTACTGTCATTGCAGTGGAGTGCTTTGGTGGCAGTGCTTTTGTATATCTGGAGTTTCCAAGGCCAATCGGTGATTCAAGCATTGATGTCAAGAATGCTCACTTGGGCTCTGCAAAAATCCGGAGAGCATGTTGTAATGCATGCTACTGGAAGCATGTCAGGGCCAGATCTCGAGTTCAGAATGTTAGAAGCTATGATGAACCAGACAGTGGGAACAACCAATTCGCATCAAGGTGACGCTCATTCTAGAAGTAGTTTGTGGCAGCTCTGCTACTCCAGTCTGTACCAATCCTTGCTTAGCATCACCACACAACTGCTGTGGTCATCGGGACGTCAAATGTTTAGATGAATTTTGACAGCATCTCAGCTCAGCGTGTGAACTGCACATGCCTTGCTCGCGAAATTTATATGTCCAAGAGTTAGTACCAGACCGCTTCTTCGAAGTAAGAAGTGTCCCGGGATCACCCAAGCCGCGCTCACAGTATCCCATGGACGGCGGACGGTCTGCAAAAGGTCAGGCGCGAGTATGTGCTTGAGAGAACTAGGGTTCCGGCGTTCCGCTTCCGGACTCCTCCCGAGTTGAGTCAACGGTGAACGCTGTCACAATGAGCATTTCTTTTCGCATCACACTCCTTGCACGGATAACTTTTCACGGCTGCAAGATTGCGATCTTGTTCTGCTGGTACTTTAGTGTGTGGCTGCTAGGGTTGCAACCTGGCCCCGCCAACAACTCACACCTTCGCAATATCAGTCAGTTAAATTCACTCCATATTCCTCATGTCAGTTGGACTGCTTCGCGTCGCAAGCACAAACGCACGCGCCCACGGACGCGTACTTTGAGACACATGGCCATGAAAAGACTTCGCAGGTGGGTCCTCCCTGTTGCGTCACGCCACTTCCAAGAATGTTTTAGACAGGTGCTGCTCCTGTTGCTATGTCCTCGCAGAGCTACTCAGGCTCTTACACGGCATTCCTTGTCGAGTGCGGAACGCTTGGCTCCAGAACATGCTTCTTCAGAGTTGCCTGCTAAGCCTTCTCGCTGTGCTCCGTGTCGTGTCGAGTTTGTTGGTTCAAATCTCGCTGCGTTGTCTCAAGCCGACATGACGTCACGCATCCTATCAGGCCTTGATGCATGGTGTGATGGTCTTGTACTGCCCCACCTTCAGGTCCAGCAGTGGACGGCGGATTTGAGACTTGCAAAACCTGCGTGCGCCACCAGGCCACACAACGCAAAAGTAATGGACACGATTCTGCGTGTCGCTGCATGCGTTGGGCAGTTGGTTGAGATGCGCTCTGTTGCTTGGGAACATATTCAAAGCTTGAACGTTGTGTTGGAGGCGTTGTGCTTTTGGATTTTTCCGACTTCACTGCGCACCAAGAGGTCAACTTCTTTGTCCTCAGACCTTTTGTTCCTTGCTTGTGGAAGCTTGAAGCTTGTCCTCATAACTGCTTGGCAGGCTCAAGGTGGCTGCAGGAAACGCCGCCGGGCGGTCAAAAGATGCTTGGGTCTGCCGCCCGACGTGTTCAATGCTTTTCTCGCAAGCAAGAGTTGGACTGCGGCGTCGAAGACAGCGTTTGTCCAGTTTGTTAGCTTGCAAGCCTTTGCGGGCGTTTGCGAGCAACCTGATGCTGCGGTTCTGTACCAGCTTTCTTCGACCTTTTTCAACTATGTTGGGTCGACTAAATTTGGGGTCCAGCGACATCGCTGCCAAGGTTCTTCGCCAGTAAACCGTGCTTACCAGCATATACTTGAACACTCCTGCCTTCAAACTCCTGCCTACGCCGGTCCTCCTGTGCTCAGACAGAAATGCCGATTGTTCCGTCATGCCAGGCTCTCTGACCACATGTTTTGGGTGTTGGCCCAGGGTCCAGAAACCTACATTCGGGCCTTGGAAGAGGCAAGCATAGCATGTTTTCAGCAGCAGGGCAACAGCAAATCCATTGGTACTAAGTCTGTGCAATGTGCTCGGCGCTCCTGTGCCTCTCGCAGGAACCGCGCGCGTCCGCACCGCAGAGCCGTCTCGTCAGACATTGTTCACGCGCACGCTGTTCGTTTTGATGTGTGGCATCGTGCCCAACACCGCCTACATGCACGTGTGTGCACGCTACAAGACAACCCCCTGCAGGTTCAGCGACATGTCCTTTACAAAGTTGGGTTTTCTGTTGGGTATAAGATTGCCCTACAGAACATGCTGCTCTCGGGTTTAGGCTATGGTCCGGTTGATGTTGTGAGAGCAGATATGGCAGGCCTGCTGACACGCTACATCGCAGACACAAAGGACCCATGTTGGGAAAGTCTGCACCAGCGGCTCAAATCTGTCTGTTCCTTTGCCACTACGCAGCCAGAGGCCGCGTGCGCAGTTCATCTTGCCAAGCACGTTCGAGCCATGCCACCTGGTAGCGCAAAACTGCGGGCTCAAAACCGGATGTCCCTCCATCTCGCGTGTTTCGGCCTTGTTCCTCTCAGACGTATCTGTGTTGCGTGGCCGGCGCAGATTCCCATTTGGGTTTTCAGGCAAGTCGCGCAGCTCCTGCAATCCGAAGCTCGTCTCAGGGCCAATGTTCACGGAGTGTGGTTTGCTTCCTTGCTGCAACCCGTCAAAGCCAAAAGATGCACGTTTGCTGACCGCTGGCGTTACATCCAGGTTGCACAGAGATTCAGCAATGCCTTCGCTACGTGGCCACTCCACAAACTGAAGCCGTCTCCCGCTGATTGCCGTCAGATGCGTAGGTTCAAACTGCATTGGAAGGTTCCTGTTTGGCAGTCACAAGAGGCTTTGTTGCAGGAGGCTTCGCAAACAGTGCATTGGCTTGCCAGTAAGATGCGGTGTAACCCACCCCTTGCCTTTTGCGCACGTGTGTTCCCGACAGTGTGTAAGGCAAAGCTGCCTTCCGGTCTGTACTCTGCCTATTGCGCCAAATTCCCACGCAATTCCTCGGCCGAGGTGCTTGTGCAAGAAGATAAGGATAAGCATGCTGCCTGGTCGATGCCTGTCCCCATCTATGAGAGATGGTGTTTCTGGATGTTCCGCCAAGACCCCTTGCACTGGCAACCCATGCATGGTGACGCGCAGAGCATTTGTGAAGAGTACAGGCAGTTGCATTTGCGTTTGTTGCCCCAACACCTCAAAAGGTTCGCGTCCCGCGAGCGCTGGCGTAGCTTCAAACTACCCTACGCGTACTGCACGATTAAATCTAAATGTTTTCATGCAGCTGGTGATGTCTCGCACATTTGCACAAAACGTGGACACTCATGCTTCCGCAGAATAATCTCTTGGCGTGCGCACCCTGCCAGTCATATGTACAAGAATGCTGGACGAGCAATCCTAGGGATCATTTCTGAGTTAGCAGTAGGGTTTGAAACTGCCAATCTTTTCTCTGCAGTGAAGGACTTTCGCTCGGCAGTCAACAAGCTCACGTGTTGCAGCGATTTGTGTGTGCGGTGCAGGGAGCCAAAACCGACCTTATCGATATGTGTATGTGACGCTGCCCAAATGTACGAAGAGCTAGACCCCTCGAGGATTCGTCAGTCTGTCCTTGGCTTGATCGAACTGCTAAAAAACGAGCGGCCCTCTGCCGTCGGCATTGTGGTCGCCAGGTCCAGACATTTGCGCACCTGGGTTGCTACAAATGACTTTCGTCACAGAGCTGCCTCTACAGTGTGGACTTGGTCAGACATCGTCTGTGTGCTTGATCTCGCTCTGCAGCAGCGGGTCATTCGGCTGGGAAAGGCACTGTTCCGCCAAGTAATAGGTGCCCCCATAGGGGGTCAGCTTTCCAAGGCAATCGCTTCCGCAGTTCTTGCCTTTGAGGAGTTCAGTGCCTGCAATAAACTCTTGGTGCTCAGAGCCTCTGGGTTTCTGCCTTCGGCTGCAAACGTTCTTTCTGATGCTGTTGCCAACACAAGGTATGTTGATGATCTTGCTATGGCCTCGCAAGTTCTGTGCACCTCTTGCTTGCATAAACTCACTAAGCTTTTGTATGCCCAACCTGTTGCTTTTGAACCCGCCACGCGCGAAATTCTAGGGTTTCCCTGGTTAGATGTTTGGTTGGATAGTGTAGGGGGGTCACTTACAGTTACTGCAGCTGGCCTTGAACAGGCTTGGAGGGAAGCTGGTGGTGCAGGTGCTCCCAAAAAGTTCAGGGTGGTTCCATGGCTTGGTCATCATCATACTGATCTTTCGGAAGTAAGGGGCATTGTGGCAGGGAAGCTTGTCAGATGGAAATCTTTGCAGTTGGAACAGGAGTGCCTTGAGGCCACAGTTCGGGCAGAACTGTTGGTTTGGGCTCTTAGTGGCTATCCAGCTCAACAGCTCCGTAAAATCTGGGGCCGCTTGCCTCACTTCCCCAAGGCATCACACATTGCTTTGCGGACTCTGGATGATTGGTCAAACAGCGGCCTGCCCACTTGCATTCGGTCTAGTTGGTTACTGTAGCTGCTGCTTTGGTGCCATTGCTGCAGCGCGCGAACCTCTTCATGCTAACTTTTTTGGTTTGTTTTCTTGGGTTTTTGTTTTCATGTTGTAGTCACTTGCCATCGCGGAGACTTCAACCGTTTGTTGGCCCTAGTCTGGTTCTTTGGTTGCTGTTAGGCCTTTCCTTCCGCAGTGGGTGTTTGCAAGCTTCCTGCAGCCATGCCTGAGTGGCACTCCCGTCGTCATGACCAGCCACACTCAAGCTCATACCACACGCCGCGGGGACAGTGGTATGGGCATGGTGGCAAAGGTGGTGGCAAAGGCCACGGAAAGCATCACGGCTACTCACAGCGCTTCAGCCCCTACAGCAACGGCCGGGGAGGAGGACTGGAACAGGCAGTTTCTCGTTCCTTCCAGACTGCGCTTAGCTCAACGCTGGAGTGTGCCATTTCTGAAGGCTTTGCAATGCTCACCTCCAGGTTGACCAACGGTGTGGAGCAGCAACAGCTGCAGCAACACAGCTCTCCCCCTGCCAGAGCCGGCAGTGCGCTTACTCGTGCGGTTGTGGGCCTCTTCGGTGGTGCGAACAAGGAGACTGCGGAGCCCAAGCCTCCTTTGCCACAGTCTACCAGCCCAGAGGCCCAAGACGCCAATAACGCAGCACTGCAGATGGCTCTTGAGCAGCAGTCCCAAACCATGCAGTTCATGATGGAGTTCATGAAGTCCTCACAGGAGAAGAGTGGTGATGCTGGGGTGCCCACAGTCGTTGCGGCTGACAACACAGAACTTGACAAAGATGCGGCGATCAAGCAGTTGCAGGCGCAGGTTGCGGGTTTGGCAAAGCAGCTTGCTGAGAAGTCTGGCAAGGCAAGTGCTCCGACGGCAGGCAAGAACCTCCGCCAGACTGAGCTCCCTTTCAAGCCAGCTCCCGGCAACTGACTAGGATTCTGCAGATATTCGCCCACCCTTCGGGCTGTCGCCAAATGGTTGGGTCGTTTTGGCACAGATGCCCTGATATGGCTAATCGTACTGTCATTGCAGTGGAGTGCTTTGGTGGCAGTGCTTTTGTATATCTGGAGTTTCCAAGGCCAATCGGTGATTCAAGCATTGATGTCAAGAATGCTCACTTGGGCTCTGCAAAAATCCGGAGAGCATGTTGTAATGCATGCTACTGGAAGCATGTCAGGGCCAGATCTCGAGTTCAGAATGTTAGAAGCTATGATGAACCAGACAGTGGGAACAACCAATTCGCATCAAGGTGACGCTCATTCTAGAAGTAGTTTGTGGCAGCTCTGCTACTCCAGTCTGTACCAATCCTTGCTTAGCATCACCACACAACTGCTGTGGTCATCGGGACGTCAAATGTTTAGATGAATTTTGACAGCATCTCAGCTCAGCGTGTGAACTGCACATGCCTTGCTCGCGAAATTTATATGTCCAAGAGTTAGTACCAGACCGCTTCTTCGAAGTAAGAAGTGTCCCGGGATCACCCAAGCCGCGCTCACAGTATCCCATGGACGGCGGACGGTCTGCAAAAGGTCAGGCGCGAGTATGTGCTTGAGAGAACTAGGGTTTTAGGATTTTGGGGTTTTAGGGTTTAGGGTTTTAGGGTTTTAGGATTTTGGGGTTTTAGGGTTTAGGGTTTCAGGGTTTCAGGGTTTTAGGGTTTTTGGGTTTTAGGGTTTCAGGGTTTCAGGGTTTTCGGGTTTTAGGGTTTTAGGGTTTAGGGTTTTAGGGTTTTAGAGTTTAGGGTTTAGGGTTTTGGGGTTTTGGGGTTTTGGGGTTTAGGGCTTACGGCTTTAGGGCTTTAGGGTTTAGGGTTTAGGGCATAAGGCAGCCTCGGGGGAAAGGAACCTACCCCATGAAGGGAATACTGGGGGCTCCCGATCTGCACAACTGCACGCGTTAAGGCCCTAAACCCTAAACCCTAAACCCTAAACCCTAAACCCTAAACCCTGAACCCTAACCCCTAAACCCTAAACCCTAAACCCTAAACCCTAAACCGAGTTTCTAGGTGGGGTACCTCAAGTGTATGGCTATGGGATATCTAAGGAGGTATGTAAGAACGTATAATGATGGGGGTACCCAGTTTAGTGCTTGGGGCCGAAGGCTTTCAAGGATTTTGTGTTTCTAGAACGGGCTTCCAGAATCTAGCTTGGAAAATTGGATTGCTCAAATCTGAGCTCTCAGACAACGGTTTTTCTGGTTATAGGGCTTTAGGAATTGGGGTTTAGGGTTTAGGGCTATCATGCTCTCAGAAGTGGATGCCCATCATATAAGGATGGCACTCCTGGGATAGATTTCCTTGAAGGGAGGTCTCTGGGTGTTAGCAGGGGAGAGTCCTCAACAGAACTCCAAGCAAGCGCGAAAGACACCACCGAGAGCAAGGCTCGTCGATATCGGGGGTGCGTGGACGGCCCCCTTTGAGGCTATTGTCTGAACAGCTCAGCTCCAGAAATGGCAAGTGGGAGCTTTCCGACCTGGACCCTAATTGGACGGGCGGGAGATTTAGGGTTTGGGGTTGAGGGCTTAGGGTTTAGGGTTTAGGGCTTAGGGTTTAGGGTTTGGGGTCGCAGGTTCAGGGTTTAGGCGCCATTTTGGGGTTTGGGGGTATGAAAGAGGAGGACCCTGATAGCCTAAATTCAGGAAACTCCCGTATGCAGATGGAAGGCCTACAGGAAAGTACTCCACTGTCTAACTACCACAAAACCCAAACCTAACCCTAAGCCCTGAAACCCAGCAAAAAAAGAGAGGTCTGTTCCAACGCGGGCACTGGCAGCTGCCACGCTACCGGGAATTTAGCCACCAAGTCACTGTTCGACCACCAAACTCTCAAAGCAACAAACTTCTTTTACACAAGCAGTTTTTTGTGACCCTAAACCCTAAACCCTAAACCTTAAACCCTAAACCCTAAACCCTAGACCCTAGACCCTAAACCCAAAACCCAAAACCCAAAACCCAAAACCCTAAACCCTAAACCCTAAACCAAACCCTAAACCCGAAACCCTAGACCCTAACCCCCCAACAGGTCCAATGCGGACCCATATTCGCAGATATGAGCTCTTATGGCCCTGGCAGTCCGCGTTTTTGGGGCATTGGGTGGGTGGGCGGGTGTGAGGGAGGGAGGGGTGAGGTGAGCAAAATACCCTCAAACCAACCCTAAACCCTAAATACCCTCAAACCGAAGCCCTGAACCCTCTGCGCCACAAGCTCCATTTTTGGCTCCGGCCGCATGCTTGTCGTTTGCCTCGCGTTCTGGATCCTTGCCCTTCCTTTTGGCGCAGAGGGGGGCTGGCTCAGGAGCCTTTAGGATATTTAGGACTTGACCGTAGGTGCAAACTGGCTCAAACAAAATGTCATATAGTTGAAGCACATGGACAAGTACTACATATGTGTATATATATATGTATACATCTCTCCCTCTCTCTCTCTCTCTCTTATGGATGTATGTACTTATTGATAGTTATCATGCTGGTCTATGGCCCAAAGCCTCTAAGTTCACAGGGCGGGGCAATGCGAACAGCCCTAAACACCCAACCATAAACCCACTGCTGCGCGCAATGTGCTTGCAAGGGTCTCCTAAACTTTCTTCTCGCCAGAGTGTCCACCTGCACACTATGGTCTTAGGGTTTAAGTTTTACTGGATAAAATTTTAGGTTTTAGGATTCAGGCTTTGGGTTCAGGACCCTTCAACCCCGCCCAACCCCCCTCCCGATGGTGCGCCCAATTTGTGGTTGGCGGCATGGACCCGGTATGTTGAATGAAGAGCTCGTGCTTCGGCGACTGGGTTGGGGCACAGGGTACGTTTCAGGGTACATGGTTTGCTTGTGGGGCTTCCGAGACGCCCTCCAGAAAGGGAACAAGAGCTTGACCCTTCCGATCCCCTCATGAAGTGGTACTGCGCGGACCAATCCTCCACCTGCTTAAAAAAGTACCCAGGCAGATGGGCAGGTATACCAGCGAAACGAAAATTGAGGGTTTCATCTTGCAGGGAGTCGGATAGTAGGGATTATCGTAGTTTGGGGGGGTGCATGGGGTAACTCTCCTCTGGATGTTCTGCATTTCTTTGTTTAAACAACAGGTCCCTATGCCCTGTACCCCAAGCGGTACCCCTCAAATGTCTCGAGTTGGCCTTTCATCCCTCTTTGAATCCTCTCCGGTTCCCCGGTCTCATATGCCCCCTTTCATGAGGGTAGCCCCCGAGATGACATCAGCAAACGCAACGTTCAGAATGTTAGAATGTTTGAGGGTCAGGATGTGGCATTGAGGCCGGCATAGGGGGCTTAGGGGGGTGCACTGGGTTTAGGTAAACCCTAAACCCTAAACCCTAAACCCTAAACCCCAAACCCTAAACCCTAAACCCTAAACCCTAAACCCTAAACCCTACACCCTAAACCCTAAACCCTGGAGGCTTTCGGGGTGAGGCTTCTGCTCAGAGTCTCTTCTTCCTCACCAACACCGGGGCCGCTTCTTAGGCGCGTCGTCATTGGCTACGCAACTGGTGGCGAAATTGAAGCCCGGGGCCACGGCTGGAGACTTTTTGAATCAAACTGCCAGCCTGAACCTGAAAGGGGTTTGGAGAGTAGGGGTTTAGGATATAGGGTTTAGGGGCTAAGGGTGCTGCTTTCCTTGCAACCCACAGCCCAACGCTGTCACCGGCGCGGTCCCCTCAAAACACAAATACTCCAAAACCCAATGCCCAAGGTTAGCACCCAAGACCCTAAGCTCTAAACCCTAACCCCACTATAGGAGGGACCCTCTAACGGACATTAGGGGATAGTTAGGGGCTATTTAGGGGCTACTTGGGCATATAGGGACGATATCCGAACCCCGCACACAACGCGGATGCCTTCCTGAAATAACAGGACGCTGAACTCTTGAAAACCCCGCAGTGCCGAGAAGACTGGGCGCTGAGTCCAGCAAAGGTTTTCTGGTATAAGGGTTCGGGATTAGGGTTTAGGGTTTAGGGTTTAGGGTTTAGGGTTTAGGGTTTAGGGTGTAGGGTTTAGGGTTTAGGGTTTAGGGTTTAGGGTTTAGGGTTTAGGGTTTAGGGTTTAGGGTTTAGGGTTTAGGGTTTAGGGTTTAGGGTTTAGGGTTTAGGGTTTAGGGTTTAGGGTTTAGGGTTTACAAGGGTTTGCGCTCTAGGGTTTCGGGATTAGGGTTTAGGGTTCGGGTTTGCGGTTGGGCGTGGAGATCCA